GTTAAACTTATTCCACTTGAAAATGAAGGAATAAATTAAGTTCCTTAAATTTCCCAAACCAATTGCAACTTTGGTACATTTACAAAGAAGCTGATCCACATACACACAAATATTAAAACCAAAATGTTAGTGTCATCAACATTTTATCAACAAGTATGATTCGACAAAAAACACCAAGTTACAAATCATGTACCCAGGCTGGGAACTTCACCAAGCAAACTAAGTTAAGATAAATGATTGTCCTTTATCTCTTTTAGATTGCATTGCACCCGTCGGTATGGAGAGCGGACTGATCTCCGATGGCCAAATCAGTGCATCATCACAACTGGATGATAGTCATTCGCCACAGCGCGCCAGACTGAATACCAAGAGTTTAAGTGGAATAAAAAAAGGCAGTTGGCTTCCTCTAACAAATGACCGTAATCAATGGCTTCAGGTGGATCTTAGTAGTTACACTCGAGTAACACGAATGGCAACTCAAGGAAGGGATGGCTATGAGCAGTGGGTGACTTCCTTTCAGTTAGAGTACAGTATTAACGAAATCACTTTCAAGCCTTACATGGAAATTGGTGTTGGCAAACCCAAGGTATGCTGCGCCAACTAATTCAATTTAAAGCTGCCCTGAGAATTATTGACATGGTTAAAATACTTCAGAAATAAATTGAAATAAGAGGTTTTATAACTATCAGTGTTTATTTGTACATGCAAAAAAAGCAGTCTTAGGACAAAAAAATAAATAGAACAACTCAAACGGCGTTAATTTCTCGCTATTGTTGCGATGCAACGAATTTGTATCGAACAAAGCAAAGTGGCTTTCTGACCCAATGAGAGCAAAGGCAATAACACACTGAAGATCTCAAAGGATGGTTTCCAACTAAAGAACCTCTCTAATAATCGGAATATTTTCCTAGGCTGTACCAACCTCCACTAGAGTGTGTCATTCAAATATATAACTAAAGGCAGACGCAGATCTCTTTTCTTTCATTGTTAATCATCCGCAAGCCTTACGCATCATTTTTCCTTGATGCTTTCTGTGTTTTCCTCGCTTAGATATTTCCCGGAAATGGTGATAGCGAAACTGCTGTTTACAACATTCTTAAACCTCCAATCACAGCACGATACATAAGGATCTTACCCATAACGTGGTATAAAAACATAGCGATGAGAATAGAGATCTACGGTTGTACAGGTAACGTTTTAACAGTAACAAATGATGCCAATAAAAAATCAAATAGGGGTGCCTTTTAACAGGCCTTTTTTTAACTCATGGTATGACGCTAGTGGTATTGTAAGGTTTTAGTATAAAAGGAAAATTCACTCATTCACTAACTCACTCACCCCATTCTCTGATCTGTTAGCAAATTAATGTATGCATTAAAAAACTTTGATCAAACGCGTCATCTCCTGCCTCCTCCTATTAGGCTTACCTTTGTCCCCAGTATTATGCTATTCTCTCCTGTTCAAATACCTAGGGGTTAACACTAAGGGCGAAATTTTCACCTGAGTACATGGAGGTTTCAACAAAGTTCGAAATGGCATCCGTCATCGGGCCGTAAGCTAAGATGATCTAGCTTCTTTTCGCTCCATCTTTGATCAAAATGTATCCGTCTCGACATCTTGAACAAAGAGAGAAATGTACGTAGGAATACTCAATTGGAAAGAAAAGGGTTTCAAATTCTTAAATTCGACAACGTTAAAAGTTCGAACGATCGATATGGAAATATCTTGTTGGACCGTGCGCTGAAATCACCAAGGTGGTTTCTCCTCCTTTTTGCTCCATTTTTGATCAAAATAAACCTTTGTAGACCTCGCAGACGAAGAGGAAACGTGCAGAAGAATACTGAACTGGAAAGAAACGGTCTCAGTCAAAGTCTTAAAATCGACAACGACAACAGTGCCAAAACAGATATGTAAACATTTGGTCGCGCCGCATGAGCAATTATAATTCTTTTTTTTAAATTGATTTTCACGTATCTATTTACCATATTTTGCAGTTTTAAGATTAAGATTTAATTTATTTTACCTTTACAGGTGATTTCATTCTTTCTTCAAGTTGATTTCGCGTATCTGTTCCGGCTATATTTTACACATATTTACCATGTTTTGAGATTTTATTGATTTTATTTAATTTGATCATTCACCCTGTGAGCTACTTCATTCCTGGGGCGTAAATCTTCTTGACATAATTTTAACGTATTACATCACTTGCTTGAGCACAGGTTGAATTTGCCAACTGTTTTGTTACTTACTGTGAGTATATGAAATCATAAATGTGAAATGTGGTTTGATTAAGAAATGAATATGAATACTTCTGCTTAAGTAGTGTTCATGACTTCCGAGATCGCTTTAATATTCTTTTTTCTGTTTTTTTTCTGTTTTTTTTTTTTTTTTTTCACGGTTTGGCAGTCAATTTATGTGACTTTTAATTAATTGTCGTCTTGATTTACTTTGGCTCCAAGTTTTGGTGCTATGGCGAACACTTCTAAATTGGTCATTAAAGGGTACGTCACGCGCTATTGGAAGAAGATGGCAGAGGTATAGAGAATAATACATGGGCGCTCGTAGATATGGAATTTCTCTTCGAGTGTTTAACTCGATAGCTCACGAGTGAGCGCAGCGATATAAATAATTATCATATAAACACAATAGCCCTTTACTGAGAAGACGAGCCGACTTCATTAAATGAATGAAAATAAATGAATCGACAATCCTCGAATAACAATCGTAGAGTGTGTTGGCGCTGACTCTTAAGATGGAAAAAGGCGTTGAATCATGATTACAAAAGCAACAATGATGGTAATTTTCAATTTACAAAATTCTCATTGATTGACTTTGTCCTTACCGACAGAAGAAGTCTTTCAGGTAAACGGCCAAAATCG